CTCTCTCTCTCTCTCTCTCTCTCTCTCTCTATGTTTTTAATCTCGTTCGGTTAATTGTGAATCGTGGTTTGGGCCAATCAAAGTTCGTTAGTGGTTCGCAGTCACGCAAAGATGCATTTCACAAACACTACTATGTCACTATTTTATGGTTTGGAAAATGTGTTTAAAGAGAGACTTAAAATAACTCACCTTTTGCCACTCGGCGTACATCTTGAGATAACGTTAAAGAACCAATAACGTCCAAAGGCAGTGAGCTACCCTCATTTTGCGCCCGTTTTGCAGGTGAGATTCGTTGGTCCCTGCCTTCTGTAAAAATCCAATTCTGTTATTAAATTTCGTTACGACGAAACTTGAACAGCTACGTGCAAATAACGTTCGCAATTGATTGAACGAGGTGGTAATGTAATTGATAAAAAAACGAAGATAAAATGCATTGGACTGTAGAATTTTTCCTAAAATTACTACGAACAAATTGAATCAATTTCAATCGTAAATTTGATTAAATCGAGAGAAAATTACAATCGTAATTGCTTGTATATTTTCTGTACACTACAACTTCAATCACTCCATTAATAAATTAGTCGTGAATACGAAATGATTGAATACCTGCAAGTTGTTCAATTTAAAAAGAATAGAGAAACTAGGAATACCTTCAAATCTGTGGTTCGCGTAAATTTTGTTAGAAGGAAAAGTATTTATATATTTATATATTTCTATCAGCTATCTATAGATAATCAGTGAGACGGCGAGAGATAGAAAATCGACGCGCACACCGGAATCGTTAAACGATCTGACGACGACGTCATTGGTCACGCGAGCCTTTACGAACCGGAAACACCGGTGCTGCAGCGGTTGATTATCATTCGACGTCCGTCATCGGCGACTGTCAGCGAGGCTCGAGGCAGCGTTTCGAGAAGAAAAATTCGATCGATGCTCGATGCTCTTTTCCATCTTCCGCTTCGGAAGGATATGGAAGAGCGATTAAGCACGCGAGTCGCGTTTCTAGATTTCGGAACGTGGAGTGAATGCGAAACGATCGATCGTTTGACACTGTTCACCACGTAGAAAGATCGACGAAATTCCATCGTCGGCCGGCCAATCACGTCGACCTTCAATTATGTTCGGCCGATCGGAATACCGGTGTTTTAGTCTGTGAATTTTTCTTCTTTTTTTTTTTTCGAAACGTCGAAAACACGATTCGCGTGTTTTCACCACTTCAAAAGTTTGATTCTCGAAAATAAGACGCTTGAAATTCATCCTTTGCTTAACTCGACTGTCCTTTCTAAGGGGACGACAGCTCGGATTTCTTCTTTTTATAATTTGCTGATAATTATAACGCACGTATACGTTTGGTGTTGCATGATGCGACGTAATAGTGTAATAGTGTAATATCTGAACAGACGCTTGGGATA